CAGCAGCAGCAGCAGCAGCAGCAGCAGCAGGGGGGGGGGCGTGGAGAGTCTGGTGCACAGCAGCTTCACGCTGATTCGTTTGCTGGCGAAGATTGTGGGGGCCACTCTTATGGCTGTCAGCAGCAACTCTTATGCTTCTTTGCCCCCCCCTTTGGCTTTTCCTGCTGTTGGCTTTGCTGCAGCAGCAGCAGCAATGGCCCTCAGCGCCGCGCTCGCGCTGCTGCTCGTGCTCCGCGCGCCCCACACCCCCCACCCCAAACGCCCGTAGAAACCCTGCTGCTGCTGCTGCAGCGCTGCTGAGATCGGAAGAGCGGTTCAGCAGTCGCTGCTGCAGTGCTACTGCTGCAGTTCTGCTGCTGCAGTTGCTGCCGCAGTGCTGCAGCTGCTGCAGTGCTGCAGCTGCTGCAGTGCTGCAGCTGCTGCAGTTGGTGCTGCAATGCCGCTGCCGCAGTTGTTGCTGCTGCGCTGCTGCTGCAGTTGCTGCTGCAGTGCTGCAGCTGCTGCTGCTGCTGCTGCTGTTGCACTGTCTTGAACCGCACTTGCAGACAGGCAGCTGCAAGTTGCTGCTGAACTTTCCTTAGACAAACAAATATGCCTTTGCCTTCAGCCCTTTGCACTTACAGAGTTTCACATATTTATATTACATATCCACTTATATTATTTTTACATTTCTATATATTAATATATATATACATATTATGTTTATATATTATATTACGTTTATATATTTATGTACATTAATATATATATATATATTACATGCAGTGGATATATGTTACTACAAATTATACATTACTACACATTATATAGTTGCTGCACCATTATATATATACATATATATTATATATTATATATGTATATTATATATATATATATTTATATATAATATATATAGATATATATGTATAAATACATTATATATCTATATATATATACATATATATATATATTAACATATATAATCTATATATACATGTATAAGTATATATATATATAATATTAAATGTACATATTATTACACCATGTATATAAATATATTACATATTTATTGCACCATTTAAACATATTTCAGAGTCCCACATATAATAAAAATATTAAATTTAGTAATAGATTTATTTAAACATTTTGTGCGGCAGCAGAGGCAGCCGTGGCTGCGGCAGACTGCAGCACGCAGCAGCAGCAAGCAGCAGCAGCAGCTGCATGGAGCACCTGCATGCAGCAGCATGCACGGGGTGCGTTGCTGTCGCTGCTGCAGCAAAAAGTGCAGACTAAGGCGGCAGCTAACTGCAGTTGAGCGTCTCCCTGCTGCAGCAGCATGCTCTTGCTGCTGCTGCTGCTGCAGCTGGAGTCCCTGCGGTGTCTGTACACCCTGCATGCTGCTGGCAGCCTACGACTGAAGTCTATCACTAATACTTCACTAGCAGCCCACTACAATCTGCAGCAGCAGCAGCAGCAGCAAGTGCAGCAGCAGCAGCAAGTGCAGCAGCAAATGCACTTAAAAGTGGGAAAGGTTGGGACTGCCGCGAGGGCAGCAGGTGAAATTCGGGCCCAGTTCTGCTGCTGCTGTAGCAACAGCTGCAGCGGCTGTGCCGCAGCGCCGGCGGGTCGGCAGCAGCAGCAAAAGGCTTCGCTTCTTTTTTAAATAAAAATCCCCATTCAAAGAAATATAAATATAAATATATATAAACTTTATATATATATAAAAGGAGCACTGCCGGGGTGTACGCACAGCTGCCGCCGACGGCGAGCGCGGGCCCGCTGCTGCTGCTGCTGCTGCACCGGCAGCAGCACGAAACCAAATTCAAATACGTTTAAACTGCCGCTGCTGCTGCTGCTGCTCAATTGTCCTTCTTTGGGACATGAGGCTTTGGCTGCTTCTGAGAAGCCCCCAGCCTCTCGCCGGCGCTTTTGAATCTTGGGTGCTGCTGCAGTTCGCCCACGACTTCTTTATAGTGTTCTTTGGCTTGCTGCTTCTGCTGCTGCTGCTGCTGGTACTCCTGCTGCTGCTGCTGCTGCTCGTGCTGCTGCTGCTGCTGCTGCTTCATCCACCTGTTCACACGCCGAGCCCGCTCTTCTGCCATGGCATTGTTTCTGTCTCTTGCATGTTTATATCTGGGGTCGTTCTGCAGCTCTTGGAGGACTTCGTCATATCTTCTTCGAGTTTCTGCATCAGGCTGCTGCTGCTCCTGCTGCTGCTGCTGCCTGCGGCGCTTGCGGCGCGGCCCCTCGTCGCCCTCCGCGTCTGAGAACTCCTCCGAGGGGGAAGCAGCAGCAGTGGAAGCAGCAGCAGCATCTGCTGCTGCTGCTGCGTCTTTAACAGATCCTGAAGGCCTTCGAAGACTCCGGGAGTCCGAGGCAGCAGCAGCAACGCCTCCGCCGAGAGCAGCAAGCAGCAAGACACTGCAGCAGAGCGCGAGAGCCAGGCGGGAGTTGAGGCGCGCCATGGTGGGCAAAAGAGAAGCTTTAAACGGAAAACTTTGGAAAATAATTAAACAAATTAAATTAATTTTAAATCGATATTCTAAAAACCGAAAAGAAAACAAAAATGCGCGCCAGAAAAACCCCAGAAGCAGAGGCGAGTCCAACGGCACCGGACCAAAAGCAGGGGGGCCACCGCGCGCGCTGCTGCTGCTGCTGCTGCTGCTGCGGGTGCGAGCGCCGGCCTCCCGCCGCGCTGGAGAGATTAAAAAGCTGTTTAATGTTTTAAAAGTAATAATTGAATTTATATAAAGAAAAAAAGATTTATTTCGCGGGAAATTAGCGCAGCAGCAGCGCGGACGCAGAAACAGCAGCAAGACCTGCTTCCCCAGCTCCCACGGGGCCTCCAAATGCCCCTTTCGCTTTCTTTCTCTTTTCCTTTTTATCTTTTTATATTTAAATTTCATTTGTTTCATTTAAAGGCTAAATAGCAGCAGCAGCAGCGCGTGCACATTGCGCAGCAGCAGGGGCAGCAGCAGCAGCAGCAGGGGGTCGTGTTCAATGCTAGTGGCCACGCCTCCCAGCTGCGCGGCTGCGCGCCTTCTTTGCGAACCATTTAATTATTTTTTAATTATTTCTCATAAATTTTGTATTTTATATTTTGTTTTGCGTCCATAAAAGGGGTATTTAGCCCGGGAGGGCCTCCCGGCGCAGTGGACCGCTGCCAGCCGGTGCCGAGGCCGACGCGGACTCGCCTGCTCGTCGAAACTCTTAATTCTTTTGCTTCTTTTTCTTTAATCTTTTATTTAAAACTCAAAAAGTAAAAAGTTTTCAAAAAGTGGTATTTTAAGATCGAAATTAAGGAGAAATTTGGAGCAACGGGGGCCCGGCTCTCCTGTGCAACGCCTGCACGGCGGTGCAGCAGTGATCTCGGGGAAACTTGGGCAAAACTTGAATAGAAATAATTCCCCGTGCTTCCCCTTTATCCAAAAGTACCATTTAAATAAAATTAATTTCAAATGAAGCGAAAAGGGCCGTCGGAAAGGCCCAGCTTCGCTTTCTGGGTGTTCTATGAAGTGGTGCTGCAGCAGCGCCGATGCCACTGAGGCTGCTTTCCTTTAACTTTCTGCCTTATCTTTTTTCAATTTTGCTGCTGCTTTATCTTTAGTTTTGCTGCTGCTTTATATGTCTTAAACTTTGCTGCTGCCTTTTGTCTTTTCAGTTTTGCGGGTCACCGATTCCTTCAGCTGTTTGTGTAGCTGCCTTTGCCTCTACCTGTATATACAGCTGTTTCATTTCAGGTGTATAGACACCTCTGCTGCTGCAGAGCTGCAAACTTTTGAGTTGGCTTCTTGACACTTTTATAAATCTGCACTTTTCTTCCTTTCAAAATAGTCTTACTGCTGCAGCAACGGCTGCTGCAGCTGCTGCAGCTGCTGCAGCTGCTGCAGCTGCTTCCGTAGCAGCAGAGTGAAAGCCCCAAAAGGGGAAAAGACAAAGTATATTTGCTGCTGGATCTTTCCTCACATGGAGAGGCTTTAGCCAGCAGCAGAGCAGCAGCTGATTGCAGAGAGCAGCAAGAGGCTAGTCATCTGCCAGCAGCAAAAAGGGAGCCACACGCTACAACCAGCTGCTGCTGCTGCTGCTGAGGACGCTGCTGCTGCTGAGGTTGCTGCTGCTGAGGCTGCTGCCGTCTCGGATGGACACCCAAACGAAATGCTGCTGCTGCTGCTGCTGAGGCTGCTGCTGCCTCAGATGCAACGTAAAACCAGGTGCTGCTGCTGCTGCTGCTGAAGCTTCTGCTGCTGCGGCTGCTGAGACTGCAGCCGCCTCTCGCTTCCTGCCTGCTGCTGCCTAGCAGCTATTTGGGTTTTGAAATGTTTTCCCTTTTGCTTTTATAAATTATAAAAATGTAAGTAAATTTATCCATTTTAATTTGTATAAATTATAAAAATGTAAATAAAAATAAATCCCTTTTAAAGAAGTGCCTTGCTGACGCTATGCTGCTGCGGTGTACGTACACCTGAGCAGCTATGCGAAGCAAAAGAGCACTTCGGCTCCAGCTGCTGCTCTTGTCGGCCAGTCTGGTAGCCAGCAGCAGCAGCAGCAGCAGCAGCAAACAGGACATTCTGCTGCTGCTGCTGCGGAGCTTTGTGCTTCCGGAAGTGCATGCAGCAGCAGCGCTAATGGCACCCTGCTGCCACTGGGGGCCCCTTGGCAGCAAGCCCTCGGGGTGCAGCAGCAGCAGCTGCTGCTGCTGCTGCAGCTGCTGCCGCTTTATCGTCCCATTGGGGGCCCCACACTTAGACTGAAGGGGTCCTCCGGCCAGCTAGCTGCTCCCCTTCCCACAGCTACTGCTAGTTGTTTGCTGCTGTTGCTGCTGTTGCTGCTGTTGCTGCTGTTGCTGCTCCAGCAAACAAAGGGTCGCTGCGCTTCAAAAAGCCCTTTAGCCCGCAGCTTTCGGCACTTCCCTCCCCCTCTCACCGTTAACCCTAAACCCTAAACCCTAAACCCTAAACCCTAGTGCTGGAGAGCTCTAAGAGTGGGTCCTAGCTTTGCTGCTTCGAAGGCTGGCACCTTTTTTCAATTTAATTTGAAAGAAAAATAACAAGCTGCTGCTGCTGCTCCTCTTCTCTTTTATCCTTTTGCCCGAAAGAAGATCAAAAGGCTGCTGCTGCTGCTGCTGCTGCTGGTGCTTTTCTTTTCTATCTGCTTTTGCTACACCCAAATATGGGCCCTGCATCCGCAGGACCATTTCCTCGTTCTTGCTGCTGCTCATTTATCCTTTCGCCGCTGTTTTTTATCTGTTTGCTTCTGCCTTTTTATCTTTTTGCTGCTGCTTATTTATCTTTTTGCTGCTGCCTTTTCATCTTTTTGCTGCATTTTTCATTTTGGGGAATTCTCCGTTCATGCCTCTTTTTCTGCCATTCATTTGCCGCTCTTTATCCTTTCTCAGTCAGCATATTAGGCAGCAGCAAAAGTAGCTGCAGCAGCAGCAGCAGCAACAGCAGCCGCAGCAGCGCAGTGGCTCGTTGAGCTGCAGCAAAGGAACTGCGCAGTGGAACTGCCCCGCGTTTCCTTTCTCTTTTTATTTCCTTTTGCTTTTCAAAATTCAAAATTTCAATTTTATCTCTTTTGAGTATTTTTGTGTTCTTGCGCGCTTTCTGCTGCCGTTTCTTTTCCCCCCGTTGCTGCTGCTGCTGCTGCTGCTGCTGTTGCTGCAGCTCGTGTCTCGCGCTGCTGCTGCCGCCAGCCTTATCTTTGCCGCTGATTAAGCAAATAAAATTGAATTGCTTTAAGTCTTTTACTATTTTATTTTAATTTATTCACTCTATCTACTTATCTCTTCTTATTTCAGTGAACTGCAGCTCAGCTTCCCTCAGCTGAGTCCAGTAGATCTGCTGTACGTTCCTGCCTTCCCAGTTCGCCCAGGACGGCTGAAATGCAATTTGAAAGTTCGAATTGGCACAAATTTTGATTCTTTTTGCATTTATTTCATTTATAATCCCAAAGAAAGTAACTAATCATTGAATTCAAGAGCTTCGGCCTGCGCCGTCCTTGCTGCAGGTGCCACGCTGCTCCTGCTGCTCGCCGCCAGCTGCAGCTCCGTGACTGCAGCTGCAGCAAATAAGCTAGCCATTAGTAAAGCCACAAATAAATAATAAAATAATGCATTAGTTTTAATTCATTACCAACACAGCGTCAGCAGCAACCCCCACAGCTGCTCACAGCCTAGATCCGCTGGCTGGACCTGGGCCCCCCTGGGGCCCCCTGGGGCCCCAGGGGGGCCCCTAGGGGGCCCCGCGGGGGCCCCTTGGGGCCCCCATGGAGGCCTCAAACCCCTTTGTCCCTTTTGTTTGTTCTCATGGGCCCTAGCTCAAGCTGAGGCGCCGCGAAGATGCTGCTGCTGCAGGCCACGGAGTCGGCAGAAGCCAAAGGAGGATTACCAGCAACAGCAGCAGCAGCAGCAGCACCAGCAGCACAGGCTCAAGGGGAGACGGCGCTGCCTCTCAGATGGGCCGTCCCGCTTCCCTCTTTTCTCTGCTGAAGAGGCGCACATTTGCTGCTGACCAGCGGAGGCCCCTAACTCGGTTTTGCTGCAGCAGCAGCACCAGCAGCAGCAGCATCGAAAGCAGCAGAAACTGCTGCAGCACATGTTATGCAGCAGCTGGGAGCCTTCGGAGACTCGCGTGGGGCTCGCAAGGAACAGGAAGGAGGGCGGGCAGCAGCAGTCTGGCATCGAGTGCTGTCTGTACAGTTGCGCAGCGAAATCCACCTGCAGCGGCAGCAGCAGCAGCAGCAGCCGCAGCCGCAGCAGCAGCAGCAGCAGATGCAGCTGCCAAAGCTACAACTGCTGGAGAGCCCGCAGATGCAGCGAGAATTCCCCTCGTCAATGTGCGCTTGGAGCTCACTAGAGCGCAGCAGCAGCTGCAGCGGCAGCAGCAGCAGCAACAGCGGCAGCAGAAGACTGCGCGGCCTGATTCTCTGTCAGTGGCAAGCCCTACAGCTGCTGCCGCAATTGCTGCAGCCCTTTCTGCTGCACGGGGCTTGCTGCAGCATCTGAAAGGACGGCAGCAGCATGCATTGACTAGGAGTCTTCAGCAGCAGCAGCAGCAGCAGCAGCAGCAGGCAGCGCTCCGCTGCACCACAAGCAGCAGCAGCAGCAAGGGCATGAGCAGCAGCAGCAAATTAAGAAGTGAAAATGACAGCCTCACAGACAATTCAAACGAGCAGCAGCAGCTTCTAAAGTGCTTCAGTTTGCTGGCAGCGATCGTGAGAGAAGCGTCCCCCCACGCAGCACCTGCTGCTGCTGCTGCTGCTGCTGCTGCCCAAGAAGCTGCTGCAGTGCATGTTGAGTCCACGCGCGTCGGCGTGCTGCTGCTGCAGTGTTTGCTGCGCTGTGTAGAAGCCAAAAAGCTGGGGGTGGTTTCTTTGCTGCCGCACATTCAAGCAGCAGCAGACTCTCTGGCAGCAGCTGCTGCAGTGCAGACTCGTCTTAACAAGCAGCAGCAGGAGTTGCTGCAAAAGCAGCAGCAGCAGCAGCAGCTAACCGTTTGGATATGGCAGCAGCAGATCGAGCTAGCTGTTCTCTTAAAGAGAGCAGTGCGGCTGCTTGCTGCTCTTCTTCCATCCGTTGCTGAATCCTGGCAGCAGCAACAGCAGCAGCAGCAGCAACAACAACAAAAACGACAAAAGCGGCAGAAGCAGCAGCAACAGCAACAACAGGAGCAGCAGCAACAAAAACAAGAACAGGTGCGCTGCCGATCACGGCGGCAGATTTCTCTGCATCCACAGCTGCAACTGACGCAGCAGCAGCAGCAGCAACAGCTGCAACGGCAGCAGCAGCAGGGACAACAGCTGCCATGCGGCGGCGGTGCGGGAGCTCACCTGGAGGCCGCTCCTGCGGCTGCACACGCTGCTGCACCTGCTGCTGTTCCTGCTGCTGCTGCTGCTGCAGCTCCTTGTGCCGCTAGAGCTGGGGCCGCAGGACATGAAGCAGCACTTGCGTCTATAAAATGCTTCCTAGTTAATGCAGCGCGCTTGGTGGAGCAGCGGTGGCAGCAGCAGCAGCAACAGCAGCAGCAGCCGCAACAGCAGCAGCAGCAGCTGCAGCAGCAAACTAGACTTCAGGGGCTCCCTAGTTCGGCCCAGCTGCCTGCAGCCGGAGTGCAGCCTCTTGCTGCGCCGGCAAGTCTTGCTGCACCTCAATATGCAGCTAGCAGCCAGCTGGAAGCAGCTGCAGCAGCAAGGGAAGCCGCATCGCCGGCAGCAGCAGCAACAGCTGCTGCAGCACCTGCTGCTGCCGCGGACGCAGAGCTCAAACACCTCCCCGCGCTGCTGCTGTGGCTGCTGCCGTCTGTCTTCACCATAATGCAGCAAAGAAAAATGAGCCATATAGATGACCTGTGGCGTGCTGCTTCGCTGCTGGCCAAGCAGCAGCAGCAGCAACAGCAGCAGCAACAGCAGCAGTGGTGCCTCCAGCAGCTTGATCTGCCCGAATTAAGTTTGCTGCTTATTGCGACGGCGCGGCTTTCTGCTCTGCAGCCGCAGCGGCATAAGAGCCGCGTAGAAGCCGAGCATTCATCTGCTGCTGCTGCTGCTGCTGCTGGTTGTAGGCTGCCGCTGCTGCAGCTGGCTGGCTGGTGTTCCTTGAGAGCAGCAGAGCTGCTCTCAGCTGGGCGGTACATAGAAGACGCACGCTGTGCTGTTGCGCCTACGCTGCATCCGAGGCAGCAGCAGCAGCAGCAGCAGCAGCCGCAGCAGAGCCAGCAGCGGGATAATAAGGGACAGGAGCAGCAGCTGCTGCTGCTGCGCGCGCCGCGTCCCTGGTTCCGCCCAAGTTGCATTTTGCTGCTTGGCCTTACTCGCTGGCTGCAGCAACAGCAGCTGCTGCTTCCAGGCTGCTTGCTCAGCAGCAAAGTGCAGGATGCGCTGTGGGGTAAGGAGCTTGATGCGAGCAGTTGCAGCGGCACCAACAGCAACAGCAGCAGCAGCAGCAGCAACGGAGAAAGTAAATTTAAGCACGACAGCGCGAACACGGCAGAACTTGCTGCAGCTGCAGCAGTATTTCTCACAGCACTAGAAAGGCGCCTTCTTGGCTCAGATTGGCTCCAGCAGCAGCAGCAGCAGCAGCAACAGCAGCAGCGCCTGCCGAAAAGTGCGCGGTGTTTCAGCCAAGGGCTTTCTTCAAGTCTGCTGATGACACGAAGAGAAGCAGCAGCAGCAGCAACAGCAACAGCAGCAGCAAAAGTGGCTTCGAGCTATTTATACGACTCGGCCCACCATAATTTGCCAGCGACAGCAGCAGACTCAGCAGCAGCGAAACCAGCAGCAGCAGTTCCAGCAGCAGCAAATCCAGCAGCAGTAGACTCAGCACTAGCAGAATCTGCAGCAGCCCAGCCACCCGCAGCAGAGCCAGCAGCAAGAGGTGCAGCAGCAGCAGAGCCAGCAGCAGCAAGTTTAGGAGCAGCAGAACCAGCAGCGGCACAGCCAGCAGCAGCAGCAGCAAGAGAAAAGGTGCACATTTCTGGCCGCGATTTCGCGCTGCTGCTGCGCTGTTTAGTCTCTGTGCGATTTATTTCAAACAGTTTGCTTCATAAAGCTTTGTGCTTCTTAGCAGCAAACCCCCCGGTGATACAACAGCAGCAGCACCAGCAGCAGCAGCAGCAGCAGCAGCGCGAGAGAGCGGCTCCAGCGGCTATTGCTGCAACGGGGGAAGCAGGAGCTCCGCTGCTGCTTTCGCCTCAAGATGCTGCGCTGCTGCTATGGGCCATCGGCACTGCTGGAGCTGCTGCCCTGACTCCGCAGCAGCAGCAGCACCTGAATGGCAGAGGCAGCTTCCTGTTCAACGTCTTGCGGGCTTCAGCCAGCCCGAAGTTTGCTGTTGCTGCTGCTGCAGCTCCCGTGGCAGCAGCAGCAGCAGCAGCTGCTGCTGCTGCTGCCCCGCAGCAGGAAACGCTATCTGCAGAAGCAAAACACCAACTGCGGATGCACCTGCGGCGTCTGGCGTCGCAGCTGCTGCTGAGTCGCAGTCTGGCGGGCCCTGGGTCGGCAGCAGCAGCAGCTGAAGTGTCAGAAACCAGCAGCAGCAGCAGCAGCAGCAGCAGCAGTGCAGACAGCCAAGCTGTGGCGAACGCGGTGTGGGGCCTCACCTGCTGCGGCTTGCTGCAGCACCGTCTGCTAAGGGCTTTCTCTGTTTCGTCCCCCCTTCGCTGCGGCTTCATGAGCAGCAGCAGCAGCACAGAAAGAAGGCAGCTGCTGCAGGCAGCGCTGCTGCTGCGGCTGCAGCGTGCAAGGGCTCCCGCAGCAGCACCTTTTGCCGGCGCTGCAGGACCTGCTGCCTTAGGACAGATGCAGCGGGGTCCGCGCGCTGCTGTCAACAGAGCAACAGCTCTTCGCCGTTTTCCTGTAGCAGCAGCTGCTGCTGCAACGAAGCTGCTGCAGCAGGCCAGTAGAAAACAAACAGCTTTAGAAGGAAAGACCATTCCTTGCAGCAGCTGCAACACAAAAGGAACAGACAGCGCCGTGAGGTCTTCTTTGCTGCAGCAGCAAGTACTGCGGGAGCTGCAGCAGATGCTGCAACGTGTTGCTGCAGTGCTGCCGGCAGCAACCGGAAAAGCAACGGCGGCAGCAGCAAACGCAGCAGCTGCAGCAGCGCAGTTTCCCTCTGTAGTTCAGGTTGTACACGAGTGTGCTGTGGGGCATGGCCTGCAAGTAGACATTGCACTCCTGGCGCCACAGCAGAAGAAGCAGCAGCAAATGTTACAGCAGCAGGCACGGCAGCAGCAATCTTCAGAGCAACGTTTACAGCAGCAGCAGCAGCAGCAGCAGCAAACGGGCACTTCTGGAGGCCGACGCCACAGGAACTGTCGACAGCTTCGCATTGCCATTGAAGTCGACGGCCCCTCTCACTTTTTGCTGAGTGTGCAAGCGCCTGAGGCGTCCCGCGTGGACACCAGCAGGTGCTGCAGTTCTAGTAGCAGCAGCAGCAGCAACAGCAGCAGCAGCGGTGCTGCAGTGGTCAAGCTTAGGTCTGACGGAGGCACAGCTCTAAAGCGCCGCCTGCTGCAGCTCTTAGGCTACAAGGTCGTGCAGATATGTTTCTTAGAGTGGCAGCAGTTGCAGGGTAGAAGAAAGGAGCAGCAGCAGCTGCTCCTGCAGCAGCCAGTGTTGCAGCAGCTGCTGCAACAGCTGCAGCAGCAGCGTTCGTCAGGGCTTGAAACCAGCTCATAAACACTAGCAAATGAAGCAACGCTAGAAGTCCAGCACAGCCCCTAAAACAATTTTCTTTCTTATTTCTCAAAGCTGCCAATTCAGTACAGCGCAGAGTGCAGCAAAAGCGCCCCGGCTTTGCTGCTGGGAATCTTTGTGGGAAGAAGACTTGAATTTTCTTTTAGCCTAAGAGCTGCAGATATCTAAATCTGTGCCTGCACGAGCAGCACTTTAATTGTTCAAGTTTGCTGCTGATTTCTTTTTGTATATTTCTTTTATCTACTTCTTGCTGCAGCTTGTTTTGCTTCTGCTGCTGTTTCTGCCACCCCAAGGAACTCTCTGTGCTGTCTGTCGTCTGCTCCAGAAATACTTCATCCAAAAAACATTTCGAAAATTAACTTTGAATAAATTGAACGCAATTTGTTAGAAGAGATGCAGGAAAAGACCATCTGCAGCTGCAACTGCTGTTCAAGGCAGGGCACCCTTTGCTTTGGCCTATGTAGGGTTATGAATCTTTGAATTATTTCAATAAATTGAACAAAAAGGAGAACTTTAAGAATTCTGTAAGCCACAATCCAGTACAGGAGGAGCTACGGTCACCCCACATTGTACTTAGACTCGAATTATGTCCAAGTTTTTGAGAAGACTGAAATGTTGAAGCAAAACAAGCTCAGAGCCACAGCCACGGGATGAAGCTCCTGTGCTAGCTGCTGCTGCTTGCTGCAGCTCTGCAGCTAGCCGAGCACCTAGCCTCGCAGCTAGCCAGCGAGCTGCAGCAGGACTTGCAGCTTCCAGATATACATATGCTTTGCCACACAGCAGAAGCTGCAAATGGCGGCTAGACGCAGAGCTAGCCACCCCGCAAACTAGCTAGCCACACAGCTAGCCACACAGCAAGGCCTGCAGCCCTCTGGCTGCGCTGTTTGTACACAATTTGAGCACAAGGCAGCAGCAAGACTGCTGCAGGGCCCTTGACCTGCTAACCTGAGCTCCTATGCAACTTAGAACACCATAGGCAGACACTGACTCCCCATTTTCTGGTACTTTTCAAGACATTGTGAACTTAAACTGCTGGCCCTAGCCCCCACGATTCTAAAAAGATCCTAGGCAGGCAGTAACTCTGTGCTTAAGTCCTTTTTAAGGCATTATGGAGTGCGACAGTCTCAGGTAAAAGCTGCTGCCGGCAAGGCAGAGCCTCACCGTGGCGAAACTGCCTCATTGATGTGCCTCTGGAACCCGATCTGTACAGGCGAGCGCATTAATGAGTTCAACTAAAAATATATTTCTGTTTTTTTCTCCTTTCTGGTTTGCATTTTCGGGGAATTCGAGTTGTTCATTTGAAGGGTACAGCGCGAAGCAGCGAGGCACGTATAAGGCGCCTGCTCTCCTCTGCGTCTATTTTGCCGGTTTTAAGGACAATTTGTTGAAAATCACGGAAGAATTAAACACTAACGTATTTGATTACAGGAATCTGCGAGAAAAATCAAAAGATAACGGCAGCCAGCAGCGCCAGAGTCCCCAAGGTCACTCACAGTCACATTGGGTTGGGGGGCCCCAGCACCAGTGAGAAAGCCCGCAGTATTGTCTCCGTCTATCTTCAGGAATACTGAACGAAAATAACTTTAAATTTATTTATATTCTTTCTTAATCAATTGTCCTTCGACGAGTACCGTATTTGTCTCCATAGCAAGAGAAGGCGTGCATCTGCTAAAGCCGCATGCAGCTCCAGATATATTTCTTCATTTTTAAGAGTAGATATGACCGAAAAGCATTAGAGAGAAGGCAATAGTCACATGATCACACGGCCGCTGAAGCCCCCCAAGATTTCCTCTTCTTCCCTCGCCCCTTCCCCTTTAGATTCAAGTCTTGAATTGAAATTTGCACAAGTCGGGGAGCCCACACATAAGCAGCAAGGCAAACGCATGCATGCATATGCCTATGCCAACGCGCATGCAAGCGAATCCTAACTTGCCAGCCCTGCAAGCATATTCACCTTCGCATGCAGCTCCTAATACGTGTGCAAGTGCAGCAAAGGCCCCACTTGGCCCCTAGAAACTGCACAAAAAGCAAACAAATTGACTAAGCCGTCGAAGCTGCAGACCCCAAGGCCTGTGTGAACAGGCCCCTGCCCAGATGTGGGCAAACGCGCCTCATCTTTGGCTTCCGCCCGTGGGCTCTTTCGGCGCAGCAGCAGCAACAGCAGCAGCAGCACTTTCTGCTCAGTTGGCTCTTCTTGAGCGTCTGCAGCAGACTGTAGCTGCAGTGCAGGCGGCTCTGTAGACCTTTTTAGTTTTTCAGATAAAGTGGCAGAGAATTCATTCGTTAGATAGAGTGGCAAAGGCCTCAAAGACGAGCAGTGGCTTTTTGGCTCCTCCCAAACAGAGCAGCAGCAGGAGCAGCAGCAGACGCCACAACAGCAGCCAGCAGCACTAAGCCAACTCCCTCGGAATATGGTGCCACATAGGACTAACAAGAAGCAAGAGTGAACATACTGTGCCGCAATTCCTTTTCACTCCCAACCCTCTTTTCTATGAGCCTTTGAATGATAATACTACAGGTACGCTGCTGCTGCTCCTGCTGCTCCTGCTTTTGGCGCTGTCCCTGCTTTTGACGCTGCTGCTGCTGTGGATAGGGTAGTGGCCAGCCCTGCTGCTTTTCCACAGCTGCTGGCCTTGCGGCGGCGCGGTCGTTGTTTGTGTTGCTGCTGCTGCTGCCTCAGATATTCAACATTCTTCTGCTGCCTTGATACTCCATTTGTCTGTAAGCACTGTGCTGCTTAGGAGCAGCACAATGTCCCTGTGCTGCACGCAAGGCCGATGGCCGAAAGAGCAGCAGCAGCAGCAGCAGCAGCAGCAAGGTCAGCACCTGCAGCACTGTCGGCATTTGATTCATGGCTTGGCCCCCACAACAGGCCGCCTCGGCCACTGCTGCTGCTGCACGCAGCAGGCAGAACGTTCTTGCTTGCTTGAGGCTGGTGCCTTTCAAAATCAGCAGCAGCAACTGCAACCGCAGCAACAGCAACAGCAACAGCAGCAGCTCTTGCCAGCTTCTGCGGCTTCGCTGACTGCAGATGCCTCCCTGCTGATGTCATCTCCTGCTGCCAGCGATGACTCTAAGCTGCGAGAGTTAGCTGGAGCTCGGGAATTGAGAAAGCCAGCAGCAGCAGCAGCAGCAACAGCTGCAGCTGAGGCAACAGCAGCTGATAATGTCGAAGTAGCGGCAGACGGATGCAGAGCGTCTCGCTGCTGTGGTCGCAGCAACAGCAGCAGCAAACAGCAAACAGCTGCAAACAGCCACATGGGCAGCAAGCAGCAGCAGCTGCCACCATGGCAGCATTTTCCTTCGAGCCCCATTCTTACCCAAGACGGCAGCAGCAGCAGCAACGACAACAACCACAGCAGCAAAAGTAGCAGCAGAAAGTGCAGCAATGGCAGCAATAGCAGCAGCAAACGCTTCAGCAAGAGCCACAGCAGCAGCAGCAGCAGCAACAGCAGCAGCAACAAGGGAATGAAAACTCCTGTTTCTCCTAGCTCCTCAACTGTGTGCGATGCCGGAAGAGCAGCTGCAGCAGCAGCAGAGGCTGTTGCCGCCGCTGCCTTCAACATTTCCCTCCGCCACCAGCAGAACAGCGAGAATGCTGCTGCTGCCGCTGCTGCTGCATCTGCTGCTGCACACTCAATTATAGAAGAAGAAAGCCTCTTTAGGCCCCCATTGCCTGAAGATCTTTTGTCTGCAAGGGTCCGGGCCATCTTGTCAGCAGCATTCAAATCCAGCAGCCCGCGAGCAGAGCAGCAGCAGCAGCAGCAGCAACGGGCAGATGCTAAATCATCAGCAGCAGGGAAAAGAACAAAGGGTCGGCGGCAAATTTTTGAACGATACGCAAAGCTTACAGCACCCCGAGCAGGTCTTGCTGCGGAGAGTCCATGGAAGCTTCTGCTGCAGCAAGTGCAACAGCACCAGCAGCAGCAGCCACAGCAACAGCAGCAGCAGGCTGAAGGGGAGCTGCTGCGGACCCATAGGGTTTCTGAACGGAGAGGCCGCAATCACAGCCTTCCACCATTCCCCTCAACACGGCGGGCAGCAGCCTCAGCGGCAACTTCTCCAGAACCGGAGCACCAGCACCAGCAACAGCACCATCAGCAACAGCAGCAGCAGCAGCAGCAGCAGCAGGCTCAGAGGAAGGATCGGAGGCGGCTACCTATTCGGAAACAGGCCAAAGGAAATGCCTTAGTCAATGCCGATGGGCTGATTCGCCCTTTTGCAAATCAGCCGCTGCTTAGAAGATGCGGCAATCTCAGCAGGCACCATGAGCTCAATACCTCTGCTGCTGCTGCTGCTGCTGGATGCGACTCTTTGAGCGCCGCTGCATGCAACAAGGACTCGACTACTTCTACCGCTGCTGCTGACGACGAGCAGCAAAACTCACCCCCATCTCTCTTCTCTACGGATACACTCTGTGGCATTGCTTTTAGGCATTTTCCCCTGTGGGAAGGGGACGGCGGGAGTGCAGCATTAGCAACAGCAGCAGCAGCAGCGAGGCCCAGCATCTTTGAATTTAGTGGCAGCACAACGGCGCCTCTGCGTAAATACTTCAGCAACAACAACTACAGCGTAAGGTGGCGTAACTCAGTTACAGTTGCTGGTGCTAAATCTGCTGCTGTTGCTGCTGCTGCTGTTGCTGCTGCGCCTGCCTCCTGCTGCTTCGGCTCGATGTAGCACTAATTTGAGCCTCCCGCTGCTGCTGCTGGCTGCCCTGCCCATTTGCTGCAGCAAAAAAGCCACTTGTGCTTTTGCGGGTGCGAGAGGCCGCAGGTTACTCAGGGAACTATTTGGTCTGTACCAGGGCAGCGGCAGCAGCAACAGCAGCAGCAGCCGCAGCTGCAGCAGCAGCGCAGGTCAGCCACTGCGGACTGGGGTAGCTACGGGAGGTCCACTGAGGGACAGCAGCAGCGCCGGAAGCAGCAAAGGCAACAGCGGCACCAGCAGCAAAAGATAAGAAGGGAAGCAACAGCAGCAGTAGC